AGGTCGAGAGAAGGCTCACAATGCATAGGCAGCCTATGGTTTCTTTATCAAATGCCCTGTTAAGTGCCCCTTGGATTCATATTCTCAGTGCGCACTCATTGTCTACCGAGGAAAACATGGAGCCATATATACATATATATATATATATATATATATATATATATATATATATATATATATATATATATATATATATACATATATAACCTGTCCCTAGCATGAGAATATACATGAGATCTGGTACGGAAACATTTGGAAACCAAAAAAATATTCTGTCCCCTGATTCTCGCGTAATTCATGCTGTCTGATAGCGTGCTCCATCAATCGTTTTAACGTTGATTGCTATGTGGTGTAGGGGGGGGTGGTTCTAGAATTGGCCCCGGACCTGCTTAGGAAAGCGGGCAGTACCTAAAGCCATTTACGATACATTAAGCCAGCGACTGTCGGCTGAGCGAAATTAGACGGATCGCTTTTGTTCGTGTGTGAGGGAATTCCCGCTGCTTTGAAAGCGCCACGACAATCTCTCGAGCGTGAGGGAAGAATTGTGCTGAGTTTTTCTTTCATACCTGATTAGCCCGGAGCTTAAAAACGTATTGTGCTTATTTTTAGGGCTGTACTTTGCTTAGAAAAAAAACATCGCTTGGTACTTTTTTTTTTGTGTAAGGTTATATTGCACTTGTTGGAGAATCCACAAAAGTTGTAGCTTAATGTGGATGTTAAAACAGGAACAACAAAATTTTGTTAAACATAAAATAAACAGCTACTGGTAACTCGACAATCGTAGGTTATTTAAGAATATAGCACTGTTCACTTTTTCGTACAGCCAAAATTGCAAAACGATTATTTATGCCCAAATTAAATGTATTTATCCCTAGATCTAATCTTAATCTATGTTTTCCTTGCTAAGAATAAAAAGATTAGTTATCCTATATTCGACAGAAATTAGAGAGGGCTAAAATTTAAGATCATAATTCTCCAATGGTTGAAAACTGGATATGGAGAAAGAAAGGGAATGAACCCATTTAAAATATAAAATTACACATTTTCTGAGTTATGTCCCTTACTTCTTGTAACGCAGGAAAACACTCTTTGATGCTGTTATTGATTGGGTTACAGCTTTACACGGGTGTAGGGAATTATCGTGACAGGAGCAGGGGTGGTAGAGTCTACGACTACTGACTAAGAAAGTCTCCAGTTCCGTTAACGGACTAAAGATACAATAAAATCTCTGAGTCCATCCAGCTCTACTGGGTACCTGACTTAAGTTAGGGAAAGTAAAGACGGCTGGTATGGAAAAAATCACACAAAGCATTTATCTGTCGAGGGCGTTGAAATAGGTAAACTATAGTGCATGTATACTATTGTTCGTTACCTACCTGAGTTTTTGGCCTCTATACAGATTTTTGTCAGCTTAGAATCTTTAATTGTAAATGAAACTTGGTTTCTAAATGCGTCATAGTCCCATAACCATCCGCCTAATGAAATACTAAAAGGTTCTGTGTATAGAAATCAGCCTAAATTATTTGAGTCAACCAGGTTTATCTATATATATAAAAAGCAATGTATGTGTGTCTGTCTGTGTGTCTGTCTGTCTGTCTGTCTGTCTGTCTGTCTGTGTGTCTTTTATGCATTACCACACCTCTTATCACATCGCCGTGAAACTTTGGGAAGTTGTTGAGAATATTCCTGGGGAGGTTTCTGCGAAAAAAAAAATTTCAAATTCGCAGGGGTGGCGCCCCGGCAGGGCGCGATTTGTTTTTCTCTATATACAGTATATAAAAATAAAAGTCTATTTTGATTTCACACTGTTCATCCGATAGCCATGAGACTTTGGTGAGTTCATTATACCGCTCTAGGGAAGGGTTCTGTAAAAAATATTTTTTTAATTTCGCAAGGGCGGCGCCAGGGGAGGGTCCGATTTTTCTCTATTTACGGTATATAAAAATGAAAGTCTCTTTTGATTTCACACTGTTTATCCGATAGGCGTGAAACTTTGAGGAGTTGATTAGAACACTCTAGGGAAGGGTTCTGTACAAAAATCATTTTTAATTTCGCAAGGGCGGCGCCACGGGAGGGTGCGATTTTTCTCTATATACGGTATATAAAAATAATAAAAGTGAATTGCCGTGACACCGTTCACACGATGAAACTTTAGGAAGTTGTTGAGAATATTCCTGGGGAGGTTTCTGCGAAAAAAAAAATATTTGAAATTCGCAGGGGTGGCGCCCCGACAGGGCGCGATTTGTTTTTTTCTATATAGAGTATATAAAAATAAAAGTCGATTTTGGTTTGGCATCGTTCATCCGATAGCCATGAAACTTTGGGGAGTTCAATATACCACTCTAGGGAAGGGTTCTGTAAAAAAATAATTTTTAATTTCGCAAGGGCGGCGCCACGGGAGGGTGCGATTTTTCTCTATATACGGTTTATAATAATAAGTCGATTTTGGTGTGACACCGTTATCCGATAGCCATGAGACTTTGGGGGAGTTGATGAGAACAATTCAGGGAAGGTTTCTGTAAAAAAAAATCCTTTTTTTAATTTCGCAAGGGCGGCGCCACGGGCGGCTGCGATTGTTCTCTATATACGGTTTATAAAATGTCGGTTTCACACCGTTCATCCGTGTATTATGAAACTTCGGGGAAATGATTAGATCACTCAATGGTAGGGTTCTGCAAAAAACATATTGTTTAATATTGCAAGGGCGGCGCCCCCCGGGGGGAGCGATTTTTTTTCTCTATACACGGTATATAAAAAATAAAACTCGGATGCGGTTCATGAAACTTTAGGGAATAGATGAGAATACTCCCGAGAATATTTCTGCGAAAAAGAAAACTAAAGTTTCTTACGGGCGGCGCCATATAGGGTACAACTTTCGTCAATACACGGTTTGGCGCCCAGAGTTTTAGATCGACTAAGTTGGAACTTGGCATCCGTTAATCGAGCGTCCTGCATAGCGAGTAAGGGGTACTACTATATTCAGCGGTAAAACTACAACAGGCTTCTAAAAATAACTTTGTAACGCGAGGAAATCCTTCTGTAAAGTTTCGTCACCTTGCGAAAGATGAAAAAATAACTTTTTGAATATGAGAAGCCTACTGTAGAGTTTCGTCACTTTGCGAATGATGCAATAAGCATCTATTGTTAGACAATTCAGTCAGAAATTGAGATCGAGCGTCTAATAATAGACCATTAGTAACGCTAGCATATTGCATCAGTAAAATACTGTTCATTTGTGTCACTTAAGCGAATGACGAAATCTGCATCATTATTAACAGGATACTATTTGGCACGATGGCGCCGGTTAGTTTTAAGGAGTCAGGGGTCGAACGCCGCGCCTATGCGGTAGTATAATCGGGGGGTGGGGGCCCTGAGAGCGCCCCTCTACGTCTCTGACACAGAGGCGGTCACCGAAGTGTGTTGTACCATATTTTTTCGGTGAGTGATTAATGTACGCTCAAGGTTTTCATGCGGTAGTGTAGGTAAACCTGTGTCCTGATATTTATGATCCAAGAACAGGCATTGTTTACATTTAAATAACTCATTTTTAGAAAAGAAGGTCACGCGTCTAAGAACATATAATTATAATTGATAACGCGTTGGTGAAATCCTAATATATTTCGTCAAACTTTCTTCTATCCCCGCGGCAACGCGCGGGGGTCGGGTACGCTAGTTGACTATAAAATAAATATGTGTTGCCTCTTATAAATTCAATGTCCTCGAAATTTTTATTATTTCCCCTACAATCTCAACAGTTACATGTGAGGGGAAGTAACCGCGTTAAAAACTCAACTATTAAACTTTAGAGTTGTCTATCTTTAAAAAATAAGTTTTAGTTTTAAACAATGTTTTGCCCATCCTATTTGGGTAGGTCAAAATTATCTACATCAAACTACGATAAGAACACAACGCCTCTCGGACTAAGGGACCAAATATCGCAGTGTCAAACAATTTAATCGAAACCAAAACTAGTGGGGAAAAAACTTTGATTCTGGGTAAAGATTAAACAAAGTTTTGTTCTCGATATAGAGATTTGTAACATTGTATTGGTAGACAGCTACACATATGTGTACACGGGCGTAGTGTGTTGGTAGACAGCTACACATATGTGTACACGGGCGTAGTGTGTTGGTAGACAGCTACACATATGTGTACACGGCGTGGTGTGGAGGTAGATAGCTACACATGTGTGTACACGAGCGTGGTGTGTTGGTATATAGCTACACATCTGTGTACACGGCGTGGTGTGTTGGTAGACAGCTACACATGTGTGTACATGTTTTTATTTTAAAAAGTGACTTCATTGCGAAAGGTTGGGGTGATAGAAATGTTATTTCAAGTGTATTCATCCTAATATTTCATCATTCAAGAAAAATAAATAAGGAAACAGAAATAATTAACATATAGGGGGCCTAACTAGTTGATCTAAATCTGGTATGGAGGTTTCTTTATAGTTAATTTAAAACATAGGTGCATTTTATAGTATGGATATAAAACACATTCTCATTTTGATATATGACACACTGTCAAATTAAGGATGTATGGATGTATGACACATGGTAAAATTGTTGTATCACACACTGACAGGTGTTTGTAGCACACTTTGATGTGTAAGTATGAGTCCAATCAAGAACACAGTGTGTGATGTATGTGTGACAATTACACACTCTGTATCACCACACGTGTAGACCCACACGTTGTATCTCTATACTTTCATTATATAACATTATTATTGTATTGTTTTCCTGTACCACCAGTTAGTAAGTTAAAGTACAGCCAATATCTATCAGTGTTTATCTTCGATTGGACCCGATCGACGTTTGCTATCTGTCGTCTCTATCTTGAAAAAAATCTAATCAATACATTATTTGTTTATGATAAGTGACTGGTATTTTGAAACATAAAACTGATAAAACTATGATGTTTGATTTTAGCTTTACAGATAAACTTTGGCTAGATATATTAGTCTGGGTTTAAAAATGCAGAAGAAAAAATATCTAAAAAATTAATTGAAACTTTATTCATTATAATAATGTTTACAGCCTACATAAACAGATACTCAAAAGGCATGATGAAATAACAAAAGCGTATTGTGTACATGAATGTATTGATATTTAAACAGTATATGGGTGTCGGCCATCTTGGGCGTCATTCACCGCGAGCCTGATGTGTAGACTAAAGATATGAATTTTATAAACATGAATGAGAGGCTGATGTTGACGTTAGGTCTGACGGGTAGTCGTCAATGCCATAGCTAATGTACTACGACGTTTCTGTTGACCGTTTGTTCTAAATTTCACTAGGGTCAAGGTCATGTTGATTCCGGCTTTAAAACAAACTTCTCGTGATGCATGCGACCAACATCAGGACACCGACGGTGGCAGAGCTGTGTGGGGATAGAATCACATTTTGTTAAACATCCACATTTTTCAGAGATGTGTGGGGATAGAATCACATTTTGTTAAACATTCACATTTTAAAGAGACGTGTGGGGAATAGAATCACATTTTGTTAAACATCCACATTTTACAGAGTTGTGGGGAGATACAATCACATTTTGTTAAACATCCACATTTTACATAGAGAGAATTATCCCCTACAACATTGTATGTGTAGTTTACCTGAGAGAGTTAGCTTTTCCTTTCTTGGTCGTTTTGCTTGCTGCCGTCGGCGTGGTTTTTGCTGTGGATGTTGTGGTCGCTGAAGTGGTTTTTGTTGACGTGGAAGTAGATTGGCTGGTGGTGGATGTTGAGTTGGATGATGGAGTGGTCTTGGTTGTGACAGTGGAAGCGGTGGTGTTGCTGGTGGTGTGTGTGGTGTTGGATGGCGTCGTCGTTGTTGTAGCGGTCGTCGATGTGGTGTTTGCGGTGGAGGTGCTGGTGGATGTTTGTGTGGTGTTGGATGTGGTAGATTGTGTGGTAGTTGGTGTGGTAGGTCCTAGCACGGGACAAGCGTGAGTACTGTCGAGCTGAAAGTTCTGTGAAATATAACAAAATACATTTATTAACCTACACAATGGCTGTTTGGAAAAGTCAATATTAGCTTATTTCAGGAAATTACCATTGTTCTAAATGTGTGCTTTTGTGATATAAAATTTAAGTTACATGCCATAAGCGGATTTTAGTGATTACATACGTCTGTAGTAGATTACTGTACTTACATACGTCTTTGGCAGATTATTGTACTTACATACGTGTTTGGTGGATTCTCGGATATGAATTTCAATGAGTCATTACCAGCCGCTAAACATTGTATTGCAATAAGTGTTGTTCTGTAAGTAAAACATAACACAGCTACAGCATCTGGTTATAAAAATGACTAGCTATAGTACCCCCATGCCTACTGAGATTCGAGTAATACTGCTAACTTAATCACATTGATTTTATAATTCTACAAATACCGCATGCCAACTACTCACTTTATACCCAATCCTATCGCTATACCTAACACTGATGTAACTGGTTCATATGATAACCTAGCTGTAGGCCTATAATTAAAGGGTCAGGGCTATAGTGTATAAAATAAATACCTGTCTCCGTCTTTCAGGACCATTTTCTCCGTGTGATTGAAGGTAGCCGTTTTTCCAATAGAAAAATATTGACTTATCAGAGAGTTGAACTGGCATCCCTGTGGATGAGTTTTTATAAATATATGTGTCGTTGATAGACGAACGCCAAGTTACAGTATACATATGTGGGGCTGATATATTAACATAAAGCTACGATGCAATTAATAATAAGAAATTGTAACAATAATTCAATCTATCGTAATTCATTTAAACTGTATTTTTACTATCTTTTGTTAGTTTTAATATTTTTTACGAAACTTGAATTTTAAAGAAATGTCGTGGGTAATGCCGTTTACAAGTTGATGGAAGTTAGGTCATTAAAACAGAAAAACTCAACTTCATCTGCCCCATATTTCTGGTGCAATAACGGGAAAGGATGGGGAATAGATGTAATTGAAGGTTTACAATTCATTGGTGACATGTAACCCTTCAGCACAATGTGAATCGTTTTACGCATTTGACTGTATTAAAATTAAGCCGTGACATTGTGGGAAGGGTGTAGTTACTTTTAACGGATTTCAGTTTTCGAATTGAGTATTTGGGTTTGTATTAAATTTAAAAATCCACTTTATTTTAAATATTTTTAAAGACAGTAACACTTTATTATATCAAGAACATAATTTCGACAGAAATACCATACAACCTGCAGAAATGAATCACACAACTATTGAAGTAATCGTAATGAGTGTTGACTGACTATCTAAATCATTTAAATGTCGTGGAAGTCTTCAACAACTGAAAGCATTGGGTCACATTCTGGTACTCACGTAAACACCTTGACACGCTGAGTTGTTGAGGCTGAACGTTTGACAAAACTCAATGTCGTATTTATAGGCACCTTCTGCATCAGGTACTTCAAATCTGTGGCAGTAAAACAGAATATAACTAGCATAATATATGGTACAATAATACATTATATAACCGGTATAATACAGGCTGCTGAAAAAAATAGTAAAGTTCCCTTTCCGGACCGAACGGTCCATAGGGCAAGTGAAGTAGAGTTCACTTGTTTCTGTGACCTCGGCGTATAAAAGGACATAGTGGTCAGCAATATGCCCACTCGCCTTTAGTTTCCCTAACGTTAGTTAGGTACCCCTCAGATTTGAGTGGACTCAGACACGTCTTCCGGATTCGAGTCCGGGATTCAAACTCGAGACTTTCGGGTTAACAGTCTAGCGCTCTACATCTAGGCCATGATGCAACTGTTACACTATTTGCTACTGTGAAGATTATTAATAAGGAACTCACAATAAAATATTATTGCTTTAACTGATAGATTATACTTTATAAGCTACATTAAAGTTGTTGACATAAATGTTGGGCTTTTAATCATTGTTATTTACAAGAATTATCACTCTAAAATTACTCCCGGCAATTACCCCCAGTGACTTCCCCAAAGTCATTACCCGCAGATCAATAACTTCCTCTATCCCCACCTCCCAAGAACTCACTCCAACCGAAAAGCTGCAGTAGGATATTACCCCCTGACAATTAGCCATTTGTAATTGTAGTGGTAATAGTAAGGATATGATAGAATAGGATGTCAAAAATAATAGAGATACCGTGAAGGTTAAATATATGATTTTGGTTAGGAACAGGGTTAGGTATTGGGAGATGAATATGGGAAAAATAAATATTGTTATTGGTATGATATGTGTTCTGTAGTGGGATTATTACGAAGGTTGGTGATTGACAGGAGGTAATTATGCTTAGACTAATGATCGGTGGGGGTGGGGTGGTAACGTCCTAAGCCCGGATAAAACATGTCTCATTATGTTTAAAATGTATATTGAGTTTTAGCTATATGCTTATTTATGAAATTATTAAAACTTTAAGTTAGGTTTTAATATTATTTAACATTTAATAGGCACTGGTAACTTTTATTGTTATTGTTTTCTCTGTGTGTGTGTGTACACACCCAGCTATGATTGGTACCTAACTCGCATCAGGGAAAGTAAATGGGTTGGGTATAGTGCTGACCACATTATCTTTTCATCTGGGGGGGTCACAGAAACAGGTGAACTCTACTTCACTTACCCTATGGATAGTAAGGTTCGAAAAAGGAACTTTACTTACTTTACTAGTATTATTAGTATTATTAGTGTCTTTCTCATCATTATTTTATTCTTCTTCCTATTTTTCTTCTCCTTTTAATCATTATTTTTTTTAAATATTATGATTATTATTAATTAGCTATTTTAGAATAAAAATTGGCCACTTAGTATTACATTAGCATTCGGTACCCGTTACACATGAATTATAGGCATATATATTTTAATGTTATACATGGTTGAGAAAAATATTTCATAAAATAGTTATTGGTCAAAACGCAATGTGATTTACTACAGGTTTAACGATATTAGGGACAAAGCTAAGAAATAACTAAATAGATAAAAGTCCAACATATTTAAAATAGCATAGTATACCAATACCTATTAGAAAAATTAAAACCAAATTATATACATTATTAGTCAACAGAACACCATATTAAATGCACACACTGATTAAGATACTCAAATGATTCCTTTAAATATCCGGCATTTCAATGATCATTATGTTTTTGTAAAAGTAATTTGAATTAGTTTGACCGAGAAAATTGTATACATTTCATAGCGTACGTCTTGATTCGTAGATTTATAGAATCTAGATCTAATTAAAATTTGAATGAAATAGTTCATTTCTATTTATTCTAAAATCGAAAGATGACGCCATTAGTGTTGTGTTCTTTCCATAGTGTAAACATGTGGCATGTGACGTCATTGTTTATTGCGTTCTTTGTCACAACTATAAACACTTTTCCTGTTGAATAATTTAAAATATGTTTCTGAATTCGAATAAGCCGTTATTTTTTTTTTATTCTTTATATAAAATTTAGTTTATACATTTAAAACATCTAACATCTATTGCTGAAGATACTGATATGATAGCCTGTGAAAATATTTTGCGGACAGAGAGAGAGAGAGAGAGAGAGAGAGAGAGAGAGAGAAGTGCGCACATGGGTTTTTATATATTAGGTTTCAATTAATGTCTATTTAACAAAGAAAGAAAAGGTTTCCTACCGCTGGTCTTTTAAAGGCGTGAGGTCAATGACCCACCCGTCACTACGTGAACATGTACAGGCACCAGACTGTGTACATGGTACCTGGCAGAGAGCACCCAGGACCAGTGACGTCACGATGGTCAGTTGCAAGATACCCATGTTAACCATTATATCGTCTGTTGTTCAAGACTTAAACAAACGTGTCGGCGAACAGAAGAACAGAAGAACAGAAGAACAGAAGAACAGAAGAACAGAAGAACAGAAGAACAGAAGACTGGTGTATAAGAGGAGTGTCTGGCCGTGACATCTTTATATATGTTGTTGTTATCTCTGGTCATGTGACCAAATCTAAACTTAGGGTGGATAAACACAGTAGGTCACGTTTTTATATTGTGGACTTCAGTTGTGTTGGTATAATAAAGGTGGGGCGCTTTAATTAAGTCTTTTATTGATTAAAATACTCAACCTATCTAACATTGAAAGTTAGATTTTTTTGAATTGATTATATTTAATTAAAAAAGTATGACTTTGCCCTCGGCAAGGGAAATTATCTCGGTGTTTACTTTTACTGTGTTATCTACCTTGGCTCGTCTTAGATCCGGAGATGGATATGAATTTGTTACATGATAATCGGGCTTGATTTTGTACTATCCAGATCGCGCTTTTTTCCAAACCAAATGTGAATATTTATTATTATATAAGTAAAAAAAAAGAAAAATTACTTCCGCTATTGTTAATTCCGCTTCTTGACCACAAGATGTAGGATATGTTAAGATAAAATGTAGCTTACGTTAAATTATGGATTTCGAAAGAAGCGTCCAGTTTGTTATTATTGATTCAAATCCGAAACAAATTTTCCTAAACGTAGCTACCATACTCCAGCTAATAGCATAGCCAACCGGTTCTTAGTTTAATCATGGTATAATTTCTATATTTAGAAAAGCATGCAAATATATTAGTTCCCAAACAGTTTGAATAAAATAGCATTAACATTTTTTATAATTGTTGCATTATGTGAATTCTTGGTGATTTTAAAATCTCGAAGCGAGAAACAAATAGCCGATCAATACGATCATGTTCAAGACCAGAGTTTCTTCCAGGTATCTCTTGGGGGGGGGGGCAGCCCCCTTCCGCCCCCGAAGAAAGTCTACCCCCCCCCCCTCGAACGAAATGGAATTTATATAGAAATATATACTTTTAACAGTGACCCCCTCTCCCCCCCCCCCCCCCCCGGAAATTTCAAGTCCCCCCCCCGGAGAAAAAAGTCTGAAAGAAACACTGTTCAAGACAATTGATTTGGATCCAAAAGTTATCTCCTCCTGGCTAACGAGATGTCGAATTCAAGTGAGAGAGACCGAGACTTACCAGCCCTATTTTGATTAAGATAACGTGGCCGTCCCTGGTTTTTCCTGGTTAGATAAGTGTAAATGATGGAGTAAACTAGCGATTGTCCTGTTTTACTGGGTCGCTAGGTGGAAGTAAACTTGAAGTTGTGTAGCGCCGGGCTGGGTTGTACAGTGGCCACCTACCAACAATTCGTTGATGTTATCCTTTCCCAAAATGTCTACAGCCTCATTTCACTTTATGAAAAGTCTTAGGCTTGATAACCTTGAGACGCCACCTTGCCGTGTATAAAATAAAAGCAAATCGGTAACAATAAAAACAGATCTAGAACAAGCACCAAAATGATTTCGTCATCATGTCCCGTAACTCTTGTTGGTCACTAAATACAGATCTCCAGCGTTCTCTTCCCTGGCCATTCTCTACTGCTGTCCCATACATGTATCCCATGTTGACGGTCATGTTAACTTCTTGTGGTCTGTTTTATGACAGTAACCTATACGTTTGCTATGGTGGTTGCATTTTAAAGCATGTCTGATGATCAGTCTTTCTTCCAAGCATCTCTTTGAGGGGTGGGGGGAGGGGGGTAGCAGAGACACCCCCCCCCCCCCGATAAAAGTCTACCGCCCCCACGAACAAAATGGAATTCATATAGAAAACATATACTTTTACCAGTGTCCGCCCCCACCCCCCGAAAATGCCCCCCCCCCCCCCCCCGGAGAAAAATTATGCAGATAAAGTGGTCCCCTATCCAACCCCCATCTACTGGTATTTCTATACTCTGCTGACCCTCGTTAACTAATAATTTTATTGCACCTCTACAAGAAATAGAAGGAAAAGATACATTAAATCAAAAAATATACTCTTCAACCATTCGAAAATTTTACGTTGGTCCATCGAGGCAAAACGTTCGTGAAAAAAACCATACCAAGCGAATTTTTTCTGCCCTACCTACCCATCACCTTCTCCAAATTTTCATTATCAATACAGTAAAACAGTTGGACATATTACATTTATGTTACTAAATTACCACTGTCAAACTGGTACAGCATTTTTTTTTCAACAGTGTTTATCACAATGTTAAAAAAAACTATTAAAAGAAACATTAACAATGTGGATTTTAATACCACACAATAAAACAGCAGCAGTTGAAGGACTGTCAGAATATGCATCTATCCTTACACAAGGATGTCGATTAAAAAAACCAATCGTTTCTGTGGCTAGCACAGACAGATAAAGAAGTCTTAAAGTACAAGGCTACTAGTCTTTGTGTTTTGTGATGATTGTGTTCAAGAAAGATAAAATAAAAATAATCGCTTTGTTAGTTATTCTTTTTTTTTTCTTGTGATTTCCGAGAAATGTATTTTTTGTGAAAACTGAAAGTGAACGTTAGTGTAAGGAGAACTATAGGTCAAGTGTTACAAACAACAAGTGGCGTGGCTAGGGTCAGGAGAATTTGACGTTAACAGTCAGATGTAATTTTTTATTTTAGATTTTAAGAATTATGAGAGACTGGCTAAAGTAGTTCAAACAAGATATGTGTGTGTATGTGTATTAATATTTATATATATATATATATATATATATATATATATATATATATATATATATATATATATATATATATATATATATATATATATATAATTCTCTTCTGGGAGACGCTAGAAAACAAGCTATAAACGCGCTATCTACCATCCCCACCCCTACATGGTCTTAGTGAGCTGTGGTTCACGCTATGTTTACCTTCATGGAGTCGGGTTTAGTGACGCTATTAGGGGCAGATAATTTTGTTTGAAACGATTTTGAAACGATTTTAAACGTTGGGGTGGGGGGGGGGGGGGGGGGGAAGGAAGGGGGGGGGGTATGGTTCTTAACGAGCTACTTATAGTGTTTTAAAGAAATATTTTCAGTGTCAGCGTTGGTACTGTCGAATTCACAAATTATGATTTACTGAAAAGTAGAAAAAAACTAAAAAGCGGCGTATGTTATGCCGCGGGCCGGCTCGTATATATTAATTAACAAACTACTGCACCTTACAGAAAAAAGAAGGGTTGGGGTGTTGTGAGAGTGACACTAAAAAAAAACTAGCAAATTTGACAGCGAAACCAATGCTTTGTCCTGCTACGCCTGGTTCAACAATTCACAAAGTTCAAGACTTTAAAATGTATTGGATGCTGGGATTAACAGGTCTGCCCAACTGTTGAATATTATATTCCTCAGTGATAGGATAAAGCAGTAGCTGACTGTCGAAAAATGTTTCTGCGAAATGGTGAGTGGGTGTTAAATGACACCAGTCAATAGTGAAAACTTGCTTCTGAGGGTTGATTTATAAACTTCGCGTTATGACTACTATTTGGCATTTATTTTGGGGGAATCAGGACAACACCAATTGGTTATGTTTGTATGTTAAAAGTTATCGGTAAACATCAATCAGTAGCCTACATAGGTGTGTCGCAATTGAGAATTGAGATGTAGGGTAGATGGATCCAATGTTTTCAAGCATGGACTTTCTGTAGAAGACTCTTTTAAAGATTCATAACTGTCTGTACGTCTCCTTCGACAAATTATCGAAAAGCCCATCAGTATCTTTTTATTCTGGAAAACGATATAGATGTATCTATCTTCATCATTTTTCCCGTTGGGGCAGATGAAGTAGAGTTTACCTGTTTCAGCGACGCCGCCATATGAAGGGTAGTGTGCCCAGCCGCTTTTGTTTTCCCTAACGTGATTTAGATGCCCATTAGAGCTGGGTGGACTTAAAGGTCATTCTGCTCTAGACTTTGGGGTATGCAGTCTATCGTCCTACCGCTAGGCCACTCGGTCCCATATATATGTCCATAGGGTATATACATATATTTAATCTTAGAAAGGTTGTAAAAACTCCTGAGTTACCACACCATGTGACTTCCCTCCCCCCCCCCCCACCCCCCGACTTAGTTACGCCATTATAGTTAAGATCTTTGTCTCAGAAATATTTTACACTTAAGTATGAAAAAATAAAAGGTGAGATTATAAAGAATATATAAAACACATTTTATTGCACATATCTTAGCCTGTTGATTGGCAAGACTTAATTAATTAAGTTGACTAATGAGACGTCTGTCAGAAGAGAGCCCTGACGGCAGCAGCTACTACAAGCAGGACTGACAAGGTAGCCGAACTGTGGAGAGAAAGACATTTGGTGGGAATACTGAATACAGGCGGTGTGTTGTGTTGGCTATCTACATAACTAATGTGCCTATTTGCAGAACAAATGCGGCTATTTGCAGAACAAATGCGGCTATTTGCAGAACAAATGCGGCTATTTGCAGAACAAATGCGGCTATTTGCAGAACTAATGCAGCTATTTACAGAACAAATGCTGGCTATATCAGAGGCGTAGCGAGGGGGGGGGGGGGGGCGGGGGAACATATGTCCCCGGGAGCCGACCTTAGGAGGGGGCGCCAAATCGAAAGTTTGAGGGGGGGGGGTGCAAATCGAAAGTTTTGAGGGGGGTGTGCAAATCGAAAGTTTGGGGGGTAGGTGCAAATGAAAAGTTCGAGGGGAGGGGGGTTCAAATCGAAAGTTTGTCCCCGGGCGCCGGGAAGGGTCTCTACGCCTCTGGGCTATCTACACAACTAATGCGGCTATTTACAGAATTAGAGTTCACATCTTACAAACTAATGTTGCAAGCTATTTACATTATTATTGCTGATTGCTGCTAAATTATTGCTGTTCACAGAACTACTGTTCCTTTTTACAGAACTAATTTATTTACAAAATGAAAGTTCCGATTAATAGTACTAATGCAGCTATTTACAGAACTATTGCTCATATTTACAGAGCTAATGCTGCTATTTACATCATTCTTGCTTCAATTTACATAACTATACTGCTATTTATAGAGCCGATGCTACTATTTACATAATTACTGCTTCTATTTACAGAATTATACTGCTATTTCTAGAGTTTATGCTGATATTTACATAGCTAATGTTGCTATTTACAGAGCTAATGTTGCTATTTACATAGCTAATGTTGCTATTTACAGAGCTAATGTTGCTATGTACAAAACAAATGCAGCTATTTACAGATCTAAATATCTCTACAACTGACCTTATACTGCTGGCTTTTCCTTTTTTGGTGGAGCGTGATGGTGTGGTGGAGCGACGCGTGGTGGAACCACTTTTACCGGTTGTTTTCACGGTGGTGCCTGTGTTCCTGGTGCTTGACTTTGTGGTGCCTGAGGTGGATTTGGTGGTTGTCGTCGATCCGGTGAATTTGGTCGTTGATGATGCTTTGGTGGTTGCTGTGGTTGGTGATGTTTTAGTGGTTGGTGTTGTTGGTGATGTTTTGGTGGTTGGTGGTGTGGTTGGTGATGTTTTGGTGGTTGGTGGTGTTGTTGGTGATGTTTTAGTGGTTGCTTTGGTTGTTGTTGTAACGATTGTTGTGGTTGGGGATATTTTGCTTGTTGAAGTAGAAGCTGCAGGAGCTTGTCTTTTTTTCAGCGGATGAGACACATCTTTGGGACAAGCGTGTTTACTCGTCACAACAAAGTTCTGGAAATTAAAACAGACGTAGAGCCTACTTAATATACATAGAAACTGTTTTAGAGATAAAAAAAAATGTATTAATTCAATATAGTATGAACTGCTGATTTGGCGATTTCTACCATCCTACACCCTAATTAGCTCCCTAACACACGTTATGTCCCTGTAAATTATGTGTAAAAAATTAATATTCCATTGTGTCGAATTAAAAAAATAAAAAGTGTACACGTAATTTCATCATATATATATTAATTATATTCCCAATTTAGTAGACCCTTTAATATAATACCCAATAATAAAAAAAACAGAATCAATTATTTAACGCAGAGTCCCAAAAGTAAGATATCAATATGTAATACCCTCGACGTATAACATCTTAAAATTTCATACCCAAAAAGTATCCAATTTCGATACAACCGAAAATTGGCTTTATTCACAAAAGTTGTGGCACTGACACTAGCAGTGTGTGTGATAAAACATAACAGTGAGAAAAACAGAGGATTCACGTCTACGTCAGTGACGTTAAATTTAGGTGTTGATTAGTTTTAATATGGCATATATTGAATTATATTTATTCACAAGTGTATATACAATATGGCTATAGCCTGCGTATTCACACAACTACTAACCTATGAGGTGATTTTTTAGACGACTAATAACCTATGAGGTGATGTTGTAAAGACTTATTTACACAACTACTAACCTATGTGCTAATTTAGTAAAGAGCAACTCACGAAAGTTTTCGAGTCACCACTTTCCACCACTGTAAAGCTGGTGTCCTCACCACTTGAGCAGTCCAGATTTACAATGGTCGTGACGTCACTGTCGAAGAAAGTATGAACCTATTATAGCATGAGACTTCTGAGACCATCACCTAAATGTATCACCACTGAGACCATCACCTAAATGTATCACCACTGAGACCATCACCTACTTGTGTCACCACTGAGACCATCACCTAAATGTGTCACCACTGAGACCATCACCTAAATGTGTCACCACTCAGACCATCACCTACATGTGTCACAACTCAGACCATCACCTACATGTGTCACCACTCAGACCATCACTTACATGTGTCACCACTCAGACCATCACTTACATGTGTCACCACTCAGACCATCACCTAAATGTATCACCACTGAGACCATCACCTACTTGTGTCACCACTGAGACCATCACCTAAATGTATCACCACTGAGACCATCACCTACTTGTGTCACCACTGAGACCATCACCTACTTGTGTCACCACTGAGACCATCACCTACTTGTGTCACCACTGAGACCATCACTTAAATGTATCACCACTGAGACCATCACTTAAATGTATCACCACTGAGACCATCACCTACATGTGTCACCACTGAGACCATCACCTAAATGTATCACCACTGAGACCATCACCTAAATGTATCACCACTGAGACCATCACTTAAATGTATCACCACTGAGACCATCGCCTACATGTATCACCACTGAGACCATCACCTAAATGTATCACCACTGAGACCATCACTTAAATGTATCACCACTGAGACCATCACCTAAATGTATCACCACTGAGACCATCACTTAAATGTATCACCACTGAGACCATCACTTAAATGTATCACCACTGAGACCATCGCCTACATGTATCACCACTGAGACCATCACCTAAATGTATCACCACTGAGACCATCACTTAAATGTATCACCACTGAGACCATCACCTAAATGTATCACCACTGAGACCATCACTTAAATGTATCACCACTGAGACCATCACCTAAATGTATCACCACTGAGACCATCACTTAAATGTATCACCACTGAGACCATCACCTAAATGTATCACCACTGAGACCATCACTTAAATGTATCACCACTGAGACCATCACCTAAATGTATCACCACTGAGACCATCACTTAAATGTATCACCACTGAGACCATCACCTACATGTGTCACCACTGACGCCAGTTGTATCACCACTAAAGAAGGCACTCACCTCTCCCTTGACCTGTAGCTGATCACCTCAGCAGACCGGAACACTCCGGCCTGTCCAGCGATTGGTTGACCAGCGCTGATCACGTGATTGTATCTGCACCCCTGGGGCAAGAAATACATGACACAATCACTCAAACAATCATGACCTGCTAAACGACAATCGATTTACAATCCTTCACACAATCATTGAGACACCGTGACGTTTGTGGAACTATCATTCACAGGTGGGTTTTTTTCAGACGTTTTTCGTCGGGGTGGGGGTGCTTGAAACTTCTTAGGGGCGCACTTAAAATTACCAGGGAAGGGGTTTGGATAATGGTTATTTTTATATAAATTACATAGTTTTTTTATTACGTCAGATGGGTGCCTCTTCCCCCCGCCCCCGCCCTACCCCCCCCCCCCCCCTTAACGGAAGGAATGCATGAAACAAACTCTGATAACGCATACAATCACTGCCAGGACCTTATTATGCATGGAACTATGGAATCATTCACAGTAGGGTGTGGCAGATTAAGATTGAATACAGGCTGCAGTATGAAGGTGAAGTACCAAGACAATCAACCTTCACAGTAGAATGTGGCCGATTAAGATTGAATACAGGCTGCAGTATGGAGGTGAAGTACCAAGACAATCAACCTTTACAGTAGGGTGTGGCAGATTAAGATTGAATACAGGCTGCAATATGAAGGTGAAGTACCAAGACAATCAACCTACACAGTAGGGTGTGGCAGATTAAGATTGAATACAGGCTGCAATATGAAGGTGAAGTACCAAGACAATCAACCTAGACAGTAGGGTGTGGCAGATTAAGATTGAATACAAGCTGCAGTATGAAGGTGAAGTACCAAGACAATCAACCTTTGACCTTCACTGAACACGAACTCTTAGGCCACACCTGGCTAATCAGACGTCAAACATAGATCAAAGGTCATACAGTTAACATGAACATAAAGTGTGCAACATTTACAATTTTACAGTAGCAACTGCGGAACGGATATTACATGAACTTCAATACATCCAGTATACTTAAACGTCATTATCCAGAAAATACTTACATAGATGTAACTAAATCCGGAAAATTACTAGCATTGATGTTATTACATTCAGTATACTTATATATGTCATTACATCAAGAAATTACTGACATAGACATCATTTCATCCAGAAATTACTTACACAAATGTCATTACATCTAGAATACTTTCGTCATTTCATAGAAAAAAATTACTTAAACGTCAATACATCAAGAAAGAAGTTACACAGACGTCATTACATGAAGAAAGTACTTACATAGACGTCATTACATCAAGAATTACTTACATAAACATCTTTACATCCAGTAATTACTTACATAGACGAGCTTACATCACGAAATTACTTACATAGACGTCATTACATCCAGTATCTTGTTGAAACGTCTTACACAGCTGGAAGATGTAGCTGCTGTCTTCTCTCTTGTCAGTTAACCTGGGGATGGTGGACAGTGTTGTGGTGGTGACATTTAGCTGACATGATGTAGATGACCAAGAAGTAGATGACTAAGATATAGATGACAAAGATGTAGATGACAGAAATGAGTACACCCCATCACACTGAACCGTGACTGGTGACACATTGCTATGATCATTGGGGTTTAAGTTACCTTTTGGGTTTAAAGTCACCTATTGGGCTTAAATCTTAAACTTAATCACCTATAGACTATAGGGTTTTAAATCTTAAGTCACCTTAAGTCACCTAGAGGCCTATTGGGTTTACAATCTCACCTTAAGTCACCAATAGGGTTTACAATCTCACCTTAAGTCACCAATAGGGTTCAAGTCCATGACACGACCATCCTCCAGAGTACACCGACACACCCCACTCTGTACACAGGGTCGCTGACCAGTGGTCAGTACCACACACAGAGAGACCAGCAACAGGTACACATAGGACGCCATGTTTTACAGTCTGATGTCCAACACAACACAACGCAAGAGGGCGGGGCGGCACGCTCTGGTGGCTTATATACCTGAGGCTAACCACGTGACCTGATACAAACTTTATCAGCTGATAAATAAAGGAACAACGAACTTCAGCAAAAATAGACAAGGAGCTGTCAGCGTTTTGGTGATGACTTAGTATAGGTAGTGTGGGTCGTGGTCCTTCAGTTAAAGTTAAATTAGGCTCGAATAGTTAAGTATGAATGAGGGGGGTTCATGAAATTATGACCACTAGATATTTTTTTAATCTTTAAAGAGCTGCCCCTACCCTCAAACCCACGTGAACATTTTCAGATGGGGACCCAGGTTTATCCACCCCTCCCCTGGGGAGACCAAGCTGCTATTGAAACCCCAGGATGGGTCCCAGCTACACATGACATTACACGGACTAATTGTATACAGGTCTAGATGTGGAACAAGATTTTAAAGGCCCCACAGTTCAGGAGCGGAACGGCAGTGTCTTGTGTAGCCGATTTATTCGTCATCGCCTCGGATAGCGGAAAAAAAAAGTCGCAGGAACAAAGTCAAAGAAATAAAGTCAGTTTTTACTGAAAAAAAATGTTAACAAAAAGTCAAAGAAATATAGTCCAAAAAAGACACAAAGAATTTAAATAATTGTTGAATTACTTATTGAGAAGAAACTGTTTAATTTTGCGCGTTATACATTTAAGAGATGTTTTATGATTTTAAAAATATATTTACTAGCTTTTAATTCATTTAGGATCACAATAATTATCAGACTTTTTTTTGCCAATATGTAATAAGACGAGAGGTAATTTACAATTCAGCCTCTTTTTTTTTTTTAAATATTTATTTAACTCAATTTTTATAAACTAGGGAAACTATGTAAAGAAATGCAGAAGAAAAAAGTAAACATGTCAGTTGTTTGTAGAAGATGGGGTTATGGTAGAAGGCTTTCGGAGGGCAAACCACTATAATGAAGTCTCATTTTGCGCTAATTCTAGTCTTAATATACAACTTATTAACATAGTTTAAATCAATTGAATCCACTACGGAAATTACATAACTTTAAAAAAAAATCTAGACTACTCAATGATAGGCCTTTATTCATTCTTACTGTATATTTGTATATGTGTAACTAATTAGTGATATCTTTCGTGTGGCTTTTTGCTATGATTTTTTACTATGATTTTTTTCAAATGAATTTTTTCCTATGACTTTTTTATTTGGCTTTTTCCTGTGACTATTTCCCCGTGCCTTTATCCCAACAGTCACCACCCCTGCCCACCACCCCTGCCCACCACCCCGCCCACCACCCATGCCCACCACCCCTGCCCACCACGCCTGCCCACCACCCCTGCCCACCACGCCTGCCCACCACCCCTGCCCACCACGCCTGCCCACCAACCCTGCCCACCACCCATGCCCACCACCCCTGCCCACCACCCCTGCCCACCACGCCTGCCCACCACCCCTGCCCACCACGCCTGCCCACCACGCCTGCCCACCACCCCTGCCCACCACGCCTGCCCACCACCCCTGCCCACCACGCCTGCCCACCACCCCTGCCCACCACGCCTGCCCACCACCCCTGCCCACCACGCCTGCCCACCACCCCTGCCCACCACCCCTGCCCACCACCCCTGCCCACCACCCCTGCCCACCACCCCTGCCCACCACCCCTGCCCACCACCCCTGCCCACCACCCCTGCCCACCACGCCTGCCCACCACCCCTGCCCACCACCCCTGCCCACCACCCCTGCCCACCACCCCTGCCCACCACCCCTGCCCACCACCCCTGCCCACCACCCCTGCCCACCACCCCTGCCCACCCCCCCTGCCCACCACCAATGCCCACCACCCCTGCCCACCACCCCTGCCCACCACCCAATCTGTTTATCTACTCCACGCCATCGTACACCACAGGTCTGATAACAACCGTGTTAATGAACGTGTGTATCAACGGGCTGTTGCAAGTATATCTATAGATGTTCTGTCAAAACCACGTTATGTGTTAATGAACGTGTGTATCAACGGGCTGTTGCTAGTATATCTATAGATGTTCTGTCAAAACCACGTTATGTGTTAATGAACGTGTGTATCAACGGGCTGTTGCAAGTATATCTATAGATGTTCTGTCAAAACCACGTTATGTGTTAATGAACGTGTGTATCAACGGGCTGTTGCTAGTATATCTATAGATGTTCTGTCAAAACCACGTTATGTGTTAATGAACGTGTGTATCAACGGGCTGTTGCTAGTATATCTATAGATGTTCTGTCAAAACCACGTTATGTGTTAATGAACGTGTGTATCAACGGGCTGTTGCTAGTATATCTATAGATGTTCTGTCAAAACCACGTTATGTGTTAATGAACGTGTGTATCAACGGGCTGTTGCAAGTATATCTATAGATGTTCTGTCAAAACCACGTTATGTGTTAATGAACGTGTGTATCAACGGGCTGTTGCTAGTATATCTATAGATGTTCTGTCAAAACCACGTTATGTGTTAATGAACGTGTGTATCAACGGGCTGTTGCAAGTATATCTATAGATGTTCTGTCAAAACCACGTTATGTGTTAATGAACGTGTGTATCAACGGGCTGTTGCTAGTATATCTATAGATGTTCTGTCAAAACCACGTTATGTGTTAATGAACGTGTGTATCAACGAGCTGTTGCAAGTATATCTATAGATGTTCTGTCAAAACCACTTTATGCCATGTAAATAAACGACCAAGAGCTATCGATTAATATGTAACTGTGTAACCGGTGTTTGTGTGATGTTGCTGATGGCGGAATCACGCCATCGATGATGATGTTGTGGAGCGGTGTTGTGATGATGTTAACTATGGTGTTATCAAGGTGTATCGTATTATAGTTTAGTCGGATGATGTTACCTATCGCAGTGGCGTAGCGAGGTCGGGTGTCACCCGGTGCGGCACTTAATGGCGTCACCCCCCCCCCCCAGAGGAGCAGCGACCCTTCCCGGGGACAAACTTTCAAGTTTTAGATTTGCACCCCCCCCCCCCCTCAAACTTTCGATTTGCACCCTCCCCCTCAAGTTTTTCTCTATATATTTTGCTATTTTTTGCCTTGGTGTCACCCTCCTAAATGGTGTCACCCGGTGCGGTCCGCACGCCCCGCCCCTCGCTACGCCCCTGACCTATCTCATTACATAGGACACTTTTATAATTTCCGACTCACTGTCCTCAGAGAACTAGTCTTATTTCTTCTGCTTGTATCCTTCTATTCTAACTTCTCAGATTTCATTAGGCCATGACGTACAGGAAATCATGCCCGGGCCTGGTTCGAATCCTGGCTACACACGCCCATGATGGTGTGTTGTGTAACTGAACACATCACACCTGGGCGAGCTTCTGGGTCAGTGCGATAATCAAACAAGAAATCTAATCACATTGATAAATCTGTCGAGTCAAACAAAGGGCCGGTAACCCACCAACACACAAGGAGCAGGATATAAATAGTTGTTTCCCTTTACCCTTTATACAATGTCTATGTAATTTGATTAGATGAACGTAAACATACATTAAGATTCTAGAGTAGGACATCGTCTCCATGTGAAGCTACTGAAAGATGAGTTGTGATAAAATATAAGATCTGAAGGAGACGGTTTCATACTTTGTTGTAAAGTGAGTCACACTGTCGAGTACACTTATGTTCAACGCTGGTCTGGTCTAGTTTGTATCTTAGGGACAACGTACATAGTTAAGGTCAAGATTTTAGTATTTATGAATTATAATTTGTTACTTAACCTAGAATAAAATTTAATTGGTATCTGATTTTTTAAATTTAAAAATTGCACACCGATCACTTTACTAACTATAACTGTAACTAGGTATAGTATAAAGAGTTAATTCCATCCAACTAAAATTGTATAAAGTGTTTTGTGTGAATATCATGTCTCATATTTCTAAAACTGTATAGGTTTTAGTGTGTAAAGAGTTATGTCCCATATTACTAAAACTGAATATGGTCTATTGTCTGAAGAGTTATTTCCCATATCAGATCTGAAAGGTAAATACGTTCATCACTTGATAAGGCCAGTAACAACAAAGGGAAGTAAATTTAAGTTATATTTACGAACATTGAAATATGATAGAGTATTTTTTCAAACAGTAATAAAAAGGTTATACAGGCATTCAACACATGATGTACATTTAAGTGAGTTTTAATGACATGTAGATGACATATAAATGACAAATAATGAGAAGGCAATGTAAATTAACGGTAATGATTTTAATTTTTAAAAAAACATCAAAATTTTGGTAAATAATAATTAAAGTTTGAATGGTTGAATTCATCATTAGGTCAAATGAATGTGAATGTCATCTGAAAGTAATGTCATCTTTGTAACGTCATCTTTGTATTCAAGTCATCTGGGTTAGTCATCATCATAGTGTAAGTAATTTAGTCTTCCATTTATAAGTCATCTTTATGTTCAGTCAATCAATGAGAAGTCATGTTATAATATAATACAACACTGATTGGATTTTATGTCAGCTTTAGATGTCATATGACAATCAACAAACAAAATATATTTGAAAAATTTAAATGGTCAACAGTTGTATTAAATCTGGCCGTAGTAAATAATACGTAAAGATTAGCCACACTACAAACAGTTTATTGGATAAATAAACAACTGGGATGTTTATGAGCCTTTTTGTTGGTTGTGTATTTATATATATATATATATATATATATATATATATATATATATATATATATATATATATATATAAACACGCTACACATGCCCCAGTGCCTATGAATGTTTATAGGCCAAGGAACTAATTCACTTTACAGAAGTATTCTAATTACCTATCAGAAGTGTTTGCTAACTAGCCAAAAAGTTATTACTAACTGTGATATCATATTCTTATTTCAAATTAGTTTTGATATATATTATTCTACAAATTCTTTTTTATTTTTTTCAAAATTGATTTTTCAACAATTTTCTCTAAAAAAACAATGACGGTATACAGAAAAAGACTTCATAATTTCCTCTGTTTATAATGGGCAGTAAAGGCATGTTGGAGTGGTGTGGTCAACTAATACAGTACACTGGTACTAACCAACAGGTTTTGAGTTCAATACTCAACTTAGACCTCATGAGTATGGGATTTATATAAACAAAGTAAAAAAAAACTGGATATAGAACTAACCACACTCTCCCTTCGCACACCAGGGTCACAGAGACAGGTGAGTTCATCTTCACCTGCACTGTCCACCATCACGTGGGCCTACAATAAAGCTAGCATTACATTTGTCAATAGATGGATGAAACAAATACATGGGTCATCACAGCTTTGGTGGACTGTGTCACTTCCCAATACATCTGCCAGTGAATTCTTCAAGGTGTCTTTCCTCTCATCAATAAAACCTATACATTTGTGCCCCATTTAAAAAACAAACAACATAATAATATTATATCTATCTTTTCTAAATAGATGAGAAAATTGTTCAATGGTAAGCATTAACATAAAAACTGAATTAAGTATAATAAAGATCACATTGACAGTAACAGTTCAATACATGTATTATGTAACAGTGTGTATTAACACAATTATCAACATTTTTATAAATGAAATAATTATTTTAAGGTTCACAGCAACATGATGAGCCAAGTATACAATATTATTTTGGTTCCAGCAAGTCTAAACACTTTCTCTGGGTGGGGAACAACTTGTCAAAGTTGATGGAAGTGTATTTACAGTGAAATGTGAACTAAAAACATTTTTTTGTTTTCAATTTTTGATTATTTTTTTTTTAACTAATTGTGCTCAAGGTACGTAACCCATGAAAATCATACATCCAGTAAATAAACACGGTTGTCGCCCTTGTATTCCCAATGTTTTAAAATGAATTACTATATCACATTCTGTTAACAACTGTGCTTCTCAAACAGCTGTATGCCATTCTTCACAATTCCTTTAGACTTGTGCACATCCCTATATGGAGAGTGTTTATAATTGTTGTTTTTCTTTTCCTCTGTCTGGAAGTTATTCCTAGAACTTTTCATTGGCAGTGTTTTAAATCCATCCTGCACATTTAAACCCTGCGACGTACCCTGCTTAACTAGTTGAGTTTTTTTCAACGAATGCTTCCCGATATCTATAATATCAATCTTCTGCTGAGATGGTTTTGAACCTTCTTCTGATTTACGTCTAAACATCTCCACGGATGACGGATGGTTGTCAGGTAACGGAGGGGACGAGATGTTTAATGTAGGAGGCTGTTTAGTGCTGGAATATTCTCCGATTGGTTCGTAAGCAGAATACCCATCATCCTCTGGGTGGGTGAGGGAAGTGGAAGCAGACAGGAGATGATCTCCAGGTCTTGGGTTAATCCCACCTGGGATTATATCCGGCCCAGAGTTTAAATTCTCCCTCTGTATTTTATCTCTGTCGTGTTTAATTTTAAACCTGTTGAGTACTCCACGTTTAGGTCGCGGGTCAGCTATCTCCTTGTAGTGGTCCTCCCCGCTGAGCACGTCATGACCTTTGATTAGGTTTTGACCGGAGTATAACGGAGGTTTCTGTGGGCTGATGAAGGATTCCACTTCAGCGTAGGGGGGAGATGTGGGTGTGCCACCTCTCTGGGAGTAGGGGATGGCGTCAATTACCTGGTGGATGTAAGAAAACAGTTTTATTTACATCAGAAATATTTTATTTTACAAATCTCAAATGTGTGTTATTTGTTCTATGTCAAGAGTAATTAAATTATTCTCAACCATCAAATTTATAGCACACAGATTAAAATATAAATATTTGACTATAAATCTAAAATAAAAGTTTGAAACTCTAAAGTTTTTCTCAAACATTTAGATGCGATTTCAGTACTCCTTCTATTATCTGAATATTTACCAAAGCAACACAAGTAAATTGTGATTAAAAAATTATCTATTATTATTTAAAATCTATTTTTAATCTTTATTGCAATCTCACTTTATCTTCTCAGACACCCCAACAAAACCCACCCCTAAGACTGTCTAACAAATCCCACCCCTAAGACTGTCTACTGTAACAAATCCCACCCCTAAGACTGTCTACTGTAACAAATCCCACCCCTAAGACTGTCTAACAAATCCCACCCCTAAGACTGTCTACTGTAACAAATCCCACCCCTAAGACTGTCTACTGTAACAAATCCCACCCCTAAGACTGTCTACTGTAACAAATCCCACCCCTAAGACTGTCTACTGTAACAAATCCCACCCCTAAGACTGTCTACTGTAACAAATCCCACCCCTAAGACTGTCTACTGTAACAAATCCCACCCCTAAGACTGTCTACTGTAACAAATCCCACCCCTAAGACTGTCTGCTCTAACAAATCCCACCCCTAAGACTGTCTGCTCTAACAAATCCCACCCCTAAGACTGTCTGCTCTAACAAATCCCACCCCTAAGACTGTCTGCTCTAACAAATCCCACCCCTAAGACTGTCAGCTTTAACAAATCCCACACCACTGAGACTACTCTAACAAATCTCACCCCTAAGACTGTGTGTGATCTCACATACAAGTACATGTGTACTCACCTCTGAGTAGCTGTCTGCTAACTTAGGTCTTGGCTTCTCTGGTTCCAGAGATGAGAAGAATGTCTGGTGGCGCTGGATGCTGGGGTTGGGATCTGACGACACGTAGTCTGCTGCAACACTGGCCTGTAGCAGACGACATCTGAAGCCACGGAAACTTTTCGTTAATCCTTTTTATACTTTCTATTTTAATTCCTATTTTGGAACATTTTCATGCAAGTATTTGCTGTTATAAGTATTTGTTTTTTTTTTTAATTTTAGTTATGTAACTTGAATTTAGAAGAGCATTGTATCTTATAGCACTCTAAACCTCATATACATACAGTAAATGTTTTATATTTAGTGTTTTTGGCCGATAAAAAATTTCTTTGTACTTTTCTGTATTAATGCTTAGATATGAATATATTTTATTGGAACAATTTTTATTTTTATTTTTGGAAAACAAACATGCTGTAGTATAATATCTATCAGGAACAAAAATACTCTAAGACTAAAAAATGATATGGGACAAAATTTGTTCATGAATAAAGATGTTCTGTTATAAAGTTTTGCCGGAACAAAAAAGGTTCTGGGACAATCTTGTAAGAAACTTGTCAAGTTCTTTTTTGAACCTGATGGTTCATGGGGTGTGAGAAAGTAGAGTTCACATGTTTCATGACCGCTGCATATGTCACGATAGCGTGGTCAGCACTATGCCCAGGCGCCTTTACTTTCCATAATATGAGTTGGGTACCCATCAGAGCTGGGTGGACTCAGTGATGTTCTACAAACTTGAACCAGGTATCAAACACAAGACTTTTGGGTTAGTATTTGTAAGATCTACCACTCGACCACCCCATTCCGTAAATTAATGACAAAAAAGTATTCTGGAGCCAAAATGTTCTGGAGCCAAAATGTTCTGGAACCAAAATGTTCTGGAGCCAAAATGTTCTGGAACCAAAAGGTTCTGGAACAAATATATTTGTGCCCAACTCACCTCACACAGACAATGACCAGAATGACCAACAAGACAGCAGCAATGCCACTTATGATGGACAGCATGATGATCAGAACTAGAGAGTTAGACAGGTAAATGTTAGTTTCATGTACAGTGTTATACCAAGCTGTTATCTTTTATTTACTTTGTTTTTATAGCATGTTTTTTTTTATTTACTGTACAGTTATATACCTTTTTGTTATTTATTTACTGTGTGTGTTGTTATTTCTCATTTTCTGTATAGTATTCTAGCCTAACATGTTGTTATTTCGTTTTTATTATACAGGCAGAGTTTCTTCCAGGCATCTCTTCGGGGGTCGGCTACGCCCCCCCCCCCCCCAAAAAAAACTCTACCCCCCCCCCCCCCCGAACGAAATGAAATTTATTATATAATTTATATAGAAAATATATACTTTTAACAGTGTCCCCCCCCCCCTTCCGAAGAAAGTCTGGAAGAAACACTGTATACAGGGGCTACTGTTACACCATATTGTTATTTGTTATTTACTGTATACGTTATTATTTTTATTTGTTGTATGCTGGCTACTGTTATACCATGTTTTTGTTATTAACAGTATATTATTAAGCCATGTTGTTATTGGCTGTATTGGGCCTCATGTTATATCATATTATTTTTAGAACTAGAAATTTATGAAGTTATATGTAAGTTATATGTTAGGAAGTAATGTGATAGTATGATGTTATTTAAAATAACATGAATTAAAATTAAAAAAAGAATTAGCGAACCCCAAATCAAAAATATTAACCAAGGTTATTTTGATCCTTCTTAAGGTTTGGCTTAACTACCTTTATAACCCTAAACTTGAACTTAATATGTTAACTTAGCCCTATAGGTCTTACTCTATAAAACATTATAGCAAATCGCGTTCTGAGATTATACAAACAACACCAAACGTAAAATAACCCTAACCTCTAACCTTGACCCTAACTATTGATATGTTACAGTGAGTTAAACCCTCTAGGTCCTCCTCTATAAGTTAATACATTACACAAAGTCTCGCACTAAGATTAAACAACTAAGTTTATAAAACTTACTTTCTGAATTTGATTCCGCAACATCAGACGTGGAATTGGTTGCTGTAGCTGTCGATGTGGACACTGAAATGTAGGTCAGAGTTCAAGCATTACAATTATAATCCATGCTATATCAAAATTGATTACAATAAGCTGATTTAGATTAACAGTTTGAACACAAGAACAACGAATGAAAACGAAGTCTGGTCCTTTTGTCCTACACGTAAACAAATCAGATTTCAAATTTTGTAAACAAAGTTCATTTTAAGCTGTATGTACTAGCTAAGTTGTAAACTGTGCTTAACCATTTAATTAATTAATTAATTAATTAAACTTGTTTACATACTTACCAGGTGAATTCATGATGCTATATTTAGAACAGGTGTGTTTGGCCTCGTTTTTTGACGCGCTGATTTCGCTCAGTGACTTGACTAAAACATAAACAATTTAGATCTTCAGCAAACACATAGTTTATTTCCTAAACCTGATCTAATTTCGCTCAGGGACTTGACTAAAACATAAAACTAGTTTAGATTTTCATCAAACACATAAACCTAATCTAATTTCACTCAGTGACTTGACTAAAACATAAAACATAAAACAAGTTTAGATCTTCATCAAACACATAGTTTATTTCATAACCCTAATCTATCTTTTAAAAGGTGTTAATAGGTTATCTTGTTGTATGTTTTCAAACCAAAATATGTGAGGAACTATGTTGAAATGTTTTCAAACTTCCATATGAGCCGGGCCAAATATATCAAGTTGTTGAACGTTGAAAGGTTAAAGGTTAATTACGCTGTTCTGATGAATACTTCTTTAAACATTTCAACGTGTAAGTTCAATTAGTTTTCCTAAATTAACCATCCCCACTTATTCGCATCACTGGTATAGACGGTTAGAGATTAATTTAAGTGGTATACCCACTCCCCACCCAAACCCTTACCATAGCTCCGATTATTACACTGAACCAGCCCGGGGGGGAGGACTGGCTGTGTTCAGAAGGCCCGGGAAATAAATAAAGCGCTTCTCAATTTAAATCTTCATTGTGTATTGTTTTTTCATCAAAGACAAGAACCGATGCTTACAAACTGAGTTTCTCCCAGACATCTCTTCTACCGCCCCCCCCCCCTGAATGAAATGGAGTTTATATAGAAAACATATACCAGTGTTCGCCCCCCTCTCCCCCCCCCCGGAATAAGTATAAGTCGTCTGTCCCCCTAAAAATATCAAGTGCCTTCCCCCCCCCCCACGTGTCACTTTATATTTGAAATATTCAACACTAACAAAAACGACAAATTGGAAGGGCTGACTAGATAAACGCATAGTTTGTTTTTAAATCAAAGCACTATTAGACCCATTATATCCCTGATCATAACGGCTCACCCAACAGCTTATCCTGGCTAGCAAGTTGACCATTTCAGCCGTATCCTGGCTTTTGTTAGAGGTCAAGGTTAGGGTTAGGGTGAGTGCAAAGTATAGCAATATAGCACCCATGTAGATGCTAAAGATGTCAAGACTTTACATTAAACTTGACCCTAGCCTTAATCTTAATTCATAACGGCCTATACAGCCCAATCATTCAACGCTTCCATGCAATAGATATTTCGCGTTAACGTATCCCCGCACGTAAATACGGTTAGTGTTAACAGCTGACGGAAGATAGGACAAAACTGCGCATCACGTGCACACAAAACAACATCCTGTTTTGTCTACAGCTGATAAGGATTTACTCCAGGATAAGATTAAGATTAAATTATCTCTGACCAATTTTTTTTTCTTATTACTTATAGATTGAAGAGACAGTGACAAACTGACTCAGTTCGTATCTTAACTAGATCTTTGTGTCGAGTTAACCTAAGCGTTGGTCATCTTCAAAAGACGTTAAAAAACAGTAATTGTTACATGCATTTCTGGACTATGTTAATTCTTTTATACTGTATTTTATTACAAGTAAGCATATAACATAACATGCACTGAAAGATGATGGAACAAGGAATTCTCAAGGAGAGATTTGATAATACAATCGTAACACAAGGAGAGGCACAGCTAAGATAGTTGGGAGAACCGGATGCGGGGAGGGAGGTGGCACTATCAGCAGCGATAATTTGGTCTGGATAAATATAAAGGGCGATAAATTTGATTGTGTATCGCCCAACAAGGATGTCTTCAGTGGTACCTTAAAAGGTGGTTTAAGGCTACATCACTCCCAACATTACTAAATTATATTAAAACGTTCTACTTTAAATAAATTGATGACATCAGTTTCTATAAAAGAATTTGATTTAATCAGTACACATTGTGTTACTATTAGCGTCGCCTTTTGAAGTTGGTCAAGTGGAGTAATGAACAACTTGACCAGACCATGTTTAATCACGGTGTTTAAAAATGTTGATGCGTGGCGTGGAGTAATGAACAACTTGAGTGGACCTTGTTTAATCACGGTGTTTAAAAATGTTGATGCGACGTGTGGCGTGGAGTAATGAACAACTTGACCGGACCTTGTTTAATCACGGTGTTTAAAAATGTTGATGCGACGTGTGGCGTGGAGTAATGAACAACTTGACCGGACCTTGTTTAATCACGGTGTTTAAAAATGTTGATGCGACGTGTGGCGTGGAGTAATGAACAACTTGACCGGACCTTGTTTAATCACGGTGTTTAAAAATGTTGATGCGACGTGTGGCGTGGAGTAATGAACAACTTGACCGGACCTTGTTTAATCACGGTGTTTAAAAATGTTGATGCGACGTGTGGCGTGGAGTAATGAACAACTTGACCGGACCTTGTTTAATCACGGTGTTTAAAAATGTTGATGGGTGACGTGACGTGGCGTGGAGTAATGAACAACTTGACCAGACCATGTTACTCACGGTGTTTAATTAAAAATGTTGATGCGTAGCGTGAAGTAATGAACAACTTGACCGGACCTTGTTTAATTACGGTGTTTAATTAAAAATGTTGATGCGTAGCGTGAAGTAATGAACAACTTGACCGGACCATGTTTAATCACGGTGTTTAAAAATGTTGATGCGTGGTCTGGAGTAATGAACAACTTGACCGGACCTTGTTTAATCACGGTGTTTAAAAATGTTGATGCGTGGTCTGGAGTAATGAACAACTTGACCGGACCTTGTTTAATCACGGTGTTTAAAAATGTTGATGCGTGGCGTGGAGTAATGAACAACTTGACCGGACCATAATTGGACCTTGTTTAATCACGGTGTTTAAAAATGTTGATGCGATGCGTGGCGTGGAGTAATGAACAACTTGACCGAACCATGTTTAATCACGGTCAGTGGGCGTAGCACGAGACACAGGGAGCTCTATCTAACAGGACACAGCGCATGCGTGTCAAGTAGTTTTAGATTTGTCGTCTGCTTCAGGAAATGGTTGCCACAGCTGCAGGACAACAGCGAGAGGCGTGTGACGTAACAGCGAGGGATGAGACAGAGAGTGACGTCACTTTATAGGAAGTAAATGATGACGTAACGATAAATGATAAAACGACTATTGACGCTACTGCATCTTGACCGTGTTGTGTAGAAGTCACATATAATTATGTCATAATAATATATGACGTCAAAGATGTCGATGTAGCAGTAGTTAGACAAAGACCTACACAGTATACCAAAGTTGAACACTCCCATTTCTTAAGGGTCGTCATCTTATTTTATAACTCGATTGAGATACGAGTGGTTTATTATGTTGATATATTGAGACAACTAGAGTACGAGCGTGAAAGAGCAATATCTATATTTGTATCTTTGTTTCTTACCATAGCCAAATTTATTCTACAGAGAAAGGTTTGATGAATACGTTGACGTCACTGGCTTACGTTTGTCTTTAAACCCACACAATAAAACCTAAATAAAAACATACGCTCTTGTCTCTGATGGAGGTGGTAACGTCAGAATTAGTTTTTTTTTACTAAAATAGTTTAGATCAATAACTTATTTTAAGAAATATCAGCATTTGCAATAGGAAATTGTGTCCGTTTATGTATGAAGAGGGCGGGAACCCTATGTAATATGATAGGTAATGATCAATGCAAACGTTAAATTTTATCGGGTAGTAGAGGGTCGACGCTAACTTTTCTATAACGTGAAAACGATCCAAGGTTATTTTTTTAAAATATACACTGAGTAAGTTGCTAAAATAAAGTTTGCTTTTATATTTATACATACATATCAAACTTTTATCTTTTATTTTTTTAAAGATGCATTAATTAAACACTTAAGTGATGCAATAAAAATTCCTTAAGACTTAATAATTACTTATTATCTATTACGGAGGTTTAACGGCCACATATTTACCTAGAAGAAAATCTCTTTCCCAGAAATGACCAGGCACCAGTAGAATAACCGCCTCATCCCGTGCCTGGTTGGGTTTGTTTACGTGTGTGGTGTACTGGGGTATGGGCTCACAACACAAGCGACGTGCTGGGGTATGGGCTCACAACACAAGCGCCGACCGCGGCAGAAATCACAGGATAAAACCGAAGATGTGAGTCTCGCTGGTTTCCTACCTCGGTCTGAGTGAGTACTTCACCGCTGGGCTGGCCATGTGTCGTTCGGGTCAGAGTGCTCATTGTGGCTATTTTTAGAAACAATTCAAGCCGTTGTCGCGTCCAACGGAAAAACCCGGTAACGGCTGGCAAGGAGTTGAGCACTTGTGTGTTGGTAAGTACGGGCTCACAAGGCCGTGACTAAGGCTGTAAGAGGTGCCACCCACTACTCGCTTTATGGGAGGGGTTGGGGGAGGGGGAGAAGCTGGGGAGGGGACTGAAGAGGGAGTATGTATGGTTTTGATTCTGCTAACCTCTAACTTTGGAGATGTAGGAATTGTTTGCTGATCAATAATTTTGTCAAATACCTAAGTTTTATTTTGTATTTTGAGGTGTCTATATTTAGAAAGCCTAAAGTTATAGGCCTTCTAAAATGCTGAAGTTTACTTTAAATATTAAAACTTCTGTGACACTTCATTTTGAAATAAAATGATATATTAAATCCCTCTAAATTTATATTTTGGGGTGAATTTTCATTAAAATTGAAGTCTATATTTATAGATATTCTTAACTGTACATTTTGAAAGTATAGTTTAAGGTCAATTTCCCACACAAAAAAAAGTTAGCGAGTTGTCATCTGATCCATTGCTGAAGTAAGAAGGGAAGCTTTTGATTACTATTCCGTTATTCTATAGAATTCCTGAAATCGGCAGAAAAAGTACAAAATAGATCGTTTGGTACTTTACCTAAGCCAGAGAACCACTGACCTAGGCTTTCTATAGATAGCCAAATAGGGGACACGGCAATCTTTCCCTCATAGTAATCACAGTCTTACCCTAAATCCTGGAATTATCTTGTGGTTATGGTTACGTTTAGGGTACAAATTCACATTTTTTCTCTTTTTTTAAAAAATAGGTTGTTTAAAACATTTAACAATTACTGTATATGGTTTATTTTGTACTTGCCCCCCCCCCCCCCAAAAAAAACTATTTCTCACAGATTCCAGACCTGTCCTGCAGTCTCTAAAAAATCCAGAGCCCTATACTCAATCACTCATGGCAGCTGTACAATATCTATAGCATTATAGTGTTTAGTGGAAGATTCAAGGAAAAGATCGCAGACCAGCTGGCAAAAAATTGGGGGTAAGAAAAAAAAAAAACCAGAAATGTCTCTACAACCAAAGAAATTCAAAGATTGATAAAAAAGCAAACAATTTCAACTGTGATCTGACACGCACACATACTACACAGAAGACGGCCGCCTATTACACATTATCACGCAGAGAACAACACATTATCTTCAGACTTAGAACAGGCCACAACTGGTTGAAACAGCTATGTATACAAAAACACCTAAATCTTGTGTCTAGTGAAACTCGCCCTTGTGGCATGGCCTCGAAGAATGCTACAGGACTGATGCACGTACTATCAGGCGCGGTCTAAACTCTGGCCCCTATACACCCCTATACACCCCTATACACCCCCATACACCCCTATACACCCCACTCAAAGAAAAACTGTAGGGGTTTCCCGCAGATCTGGAGACCACAGTCCAGTTCATCCACGATGTTGGGCTTGTTGTCCGACTACTCCGACATAAACATAATTAAGAACGATAGACAAAAGAAGATTTTGTATTTCTCACTTCTTCCTAAACATTTTATTATTATACCGCTCTATCACCATTTCACAAACATTAGCAAAGTATGAAATTAAAGTTGTATTGGATATTTCATAGCCAGGCATGGGCCATACATAGATAATTTATTTGTACATTGGAGATTAATTCACTATGGTTTTGTTGGTAATGATGAATCATCCTCTTCCCACCCCTCCCTTTTTTTATCTACCACAAGGACTCGTCACATACACGCTATGAATCAATACTACAGAATGATGTCGTTTTAACATCTACACCATTTCATTGTAGCTATAAATAGACTCACACATCCATTCGCTGTTCTATCTCGTACACACGAGAGCACTAATTAAGCTTAATTGTCTGCCGTATCAACACAACATACTGCGTTTTGTCGGAGCACCTATCGCAGTCATGCAAGAAGGGGCGCCCCATCCCCCAGGAAGCGGTCACTTGAGAACTAACAATGGCGGCCATGTTGTAATTGTTAGATTGTCACGTGATCGCTGGTACTCCCCAGTCACCAAGTGCGGCATGGAGTGAAGCGATACGTCAGTTGATTGCTGTCTCGACAAGGGAAGTGACTGAGATATTGGAATTCAAGGGGAGGAGACGGTTGGGTTGTCGTTACTTGGATTGTCTTCTAAGTGGAATAAAGCTTAACACTCGATTTACTGGTTTTTAGTTAACAAAAAGTAAATATCAAATAATCCGGTCATCGATAATTACTTCAAATTTCTTGTAGAAATTTCATAGTGTATTTATTAAAGTATCCTAGACACAATACCCACATCAAACCCCACACTCTATCCCACCCCACCCTACCCCACAACCTACCCAAGACCCTACTCCACAGTCTCTCCCGCCCTTACCCCCCCCCCCCCTAGCACAGTAACTAAAGTTGTAGACGGTAGAGTTGACCTACACTACAATTAAGTCTCTCCATAGATTCATCTTTCAGCATGAACCGGGTCAATTATATTTCTATCAAGTCGAAAATTCAAGTACAAATACTTGTGCGTTTCCTTCCTATAAGATTTGACTCACAATGTATTTAAATGTAGACTTGAAAAGTTTAAGTTCGTATTCTAGCCTCTACAATTCTAAAATAAAACAAATTTTCAGGATAGGCGACGGTACACTTAAAAAAATCTAACCTATGTAGTTGAATTTGTGTTTGCTATTTGTGTTAAATGAATTAACATATAATCAGAAAAAATGTTTCTGTCTGGCTCTCTCTCGTTTAGACAATCCATTATTTGTCATAGTAAAAATTAACGTTAACCACAACTTTGATAAAAAAAAACTTATAGAATAATTTGTTTTTAAAAAGTTTTGTTTTTGAGAAATCATAATTTCTTACAACACTGCAAGTTTACATTGTTAAGTATATTTACTTAAATTGTTGTCTTGATCATATGATTTTATAATTTTACAAATAACCTTTCACAGCTAAAGTTCGATAAACATTATGCTGAGTTTTAAGGCTTAATTTTATTTGCCCTTTATAGAAAGAAAATGCCATTTATTTCATATTTATTGATTTCATCTGCATATATTTCTTCATGATTGTGTAAGTTTACATTTTGCGTTTTAGTCTCCACTTTGAAGCCTTTGTAGATCTATAAATTCATTAAAGGGAAATAACTCTTCCTTTAGAATTAGATGAAACCCATTTCTTTATAATATCACAGATGGGCACTGAATTTTGAACCTCAACACCATTTGTACCACCATATGTAGCCTGTCGTATTTTGTCGCCCAACACCATTATCTCACCACTTACCACATTAAACTACGTCATATTGGGGAATAAATTAAAAAAGATAATTCTAAAAATTAAGTTAAAAAGAGAACTCACCATGGAAGGCCAAGAAAAACCTAATCAAATTAAAAAGAGAACTCACCTTGGAAGAATCTAATCAAATTAAAAAGAGAACTCACCTTGGAAGAATCTAATCAAATTAAAAAGAGAACTCACCATGGAAGAATCTAATCAAATTAAAAAGAGAACTCACCATGGAAGGCCAAGAAAAATCTAATCAAATTAAAAAGAGAACTCACCTTGGAAGAATCTAATCAAATTAAAAAGAGAACTCACCATGGAAGGCCAAGAAAAATCTAATCAAATTAAAAAGAGAACTCACCATGGAAGAATCTAATCAAATTAAAAAGAGAACTCACCATGGAAGGCCAAGAAAAATCTAATCAAATTAAAAAGAGAACTCACCTTGGAAGAATCTAATCAAATTAAAAAGAGAACTCACCATGGAAGGCCAAGAAAAATCTAATCAAATTAAAAAGAGAACTCACCTTGGAAGAATCTAATCAAATTAAAAAGAGAACTCACCTTGGAAGAATCTAATCAAATTAAAAAGAGAACTCACCATGGAAGGCCAAGAAAAATCTAATCAAATTAAAAAGAGAACTCACCTTGGAAGAATCTAATCAAATTAAAAAGAGAACTCACCATGGAAGGCCAAGAAAAATCTAATCAAATTAAAAAGAGAACTCACCATGGAAGGCCAAGAAAAATCTAATCAAATTAAAAAGAGAACTCACCATGGAAGGCCAAGAAAAACCTTGCCCTGTGCCTGGCCTGGTGGGGGAAGTACACGATGTCCACCGCCCCGCACACGGTCAGGCTGGTGACGTTGGCGTCCCCCACACACAACTTGTCCATAGTCCGCTGTCCGGTGCTGCAGTCTGTCCCTGAGACCATCAGGCCAGCGCCGCACCCCTCTATCGCATCACTGGACCGGGGGAGAGGAAAGGTGATAGGTCATGTGATGTTTGGGGAGGAAAGGTGATGGTCAGGTGATGTTTGGGGAGGAAAGGTCATGGTCAGGTGATGTTTGGGGAGGAAAGGTGATGGTCAGGTGATGTTTGGGGAGGAAAGGTGATGGTCGGGTGATGTTTGGGGAGGAAAGGTGATGGTCAGGTGATGTTTGGGGAGGAAAGGTCATGGTCAGGTGATGTTTGGGGAGGAAAGGTGATGGTCAGGTGATGTTTGGGGAGGAAAGGTCATGGTCAGGTGATGTTTGGGGAGGAAAGGTGATGGTCAGGTGATGTTTGGGGAGGAAAGGTCATGGTCAGGTGATGTTTGGGGAGGAAAGGTGATGGTCAGGTGATGTTTGGGGAGGAAAGGTGATGGTCAGGTGATGTTTGGGGAGGAAAGGTGATAGGTCAGGTGATGTTTGGGAGGAAAGTTGGTGGTCACGTGATGTTTGGGGTGGAAAGATGATGGTACTGTGATGTTTGGGAGTAAAGGTGATAGGTCAGGTGATGTTTGAGGAAGAAAGTTGATGGTACTGTGATGTTTGGGAGGAAATGTGATGGTCAGGTGATGTTTGGGAGGAAAGTTGATGGTCACGTGATGTTTGGGGAGGAAAGGTGATGGTACTGTGATGTTTGGGGTGGAAAGATGATGGTCACGTGATGTTTGGGGAGGAAAGGTGATGGTCACGTGATGTTTGGGGAGGAAAGGTGATGGTCAGGTGATGTTTGGGGAGGAAAGTTGATGGCACTGTGATGTTTGGGAGGAAAGGTGATAGGTCATGTGATGTTTGGGGAGGAAAGTTTAGCGGTCAGGTGATGTTTGGGGTGGATAGTCCTTAATTAATTTTTTGTGACCGAACGAAAGGATATTTTTGAAAACTTTATTCGGCAATATTGTTCTAAATTATGACAGGAATCGATTGGTAAATGTTTCAAGTCGCTAAGTGTCTGGTTGCCGAGATATGGGCCAAAAACTGCCTTTTTCGAGTTTTTTTGGCTTTTCCGGGAAATCCAGGAAGGAATTCCGGGAATTGTTTTGGCCCACAATCATCCTCGGAACTTGCTTAACATATTTGCTTTTGGAACTAGTCCTCGATATTGCTTCGTTGATGAAGAGATGCGACTTAAAGCTGCGGACACACATCCATCCATCACCAGAAATGACGAGTTAATAATCGCAATTGTCCAGTATGGAAATTGCGCTAAAAAGTAATTAGCGATTCGGGTTGTGATGAAAGTCAACTTGGTGTTAACGAATACATTGCCGTATTTACTAATAGAAACAAATATATAAAATATGATATTAAAAAATAGCATATGACTGTAACAGATATAATAAGGTGTGAGTAAAGTTTGAAGTTAACTGAAAACCTGGTGTAAAAGTGAAAGATGTAAAGAACGGAAAGTTATCAAAGATTGCACAGTGTTAACAAAGTAACAATTTGAAAAGACAAAAATATCGATCTTTGATAAAGACAAATGATGACAACAAAGTACGAAGTTAACAAAGGGAATAATTATTGATAAACTACTTTGTTAACATGCCGGCATGATGTTGAAGAAATAATGTTAAGATAAAAGATGATGACACTGAACAATGCAATGTTAACAAAAAAAACAGTTAAAGAATGATGACAAAATACCATGTTCACAAAAATTGTGTGATGTAAAAAAACTATGTTAACAAAGTAGGGATACACCGTTAACAACTAGCCACCCACCTAGCTGCCATCTCGTGTTTGGTAAGGATGACGCCAGTGTCTGGCCTGGGTTTGAACCTCCATCGACAGGAGCTATTCAACGCTGTGGGGGCTGGATAATGTGGATTCTGTAGGTATCCATAGATCCATTCGGTGTCTATCCAGGTGACGCCACACCGTCTAGAGGTCGGGTGGATGGAACTAACTGTAGGGTTAGAAAACAAGGCATGGTCATGTGATGCTGTTTTATGTCAAACTATTGGATATCATAATAATATGTCAAACTCGTGGATATATGAAGTGTAGAAAACAAGACATGGTAATTTGATGCTAGACTTTATAGTAATCAGGTGTTATACCTGGGACCAGGGGTTGTGTGGTCAGAAGTATGTGGTGAAACCGTGATAGCGTGATAGTGTGATAGCGTGATAGTGTGATAGTTTGATAGCGTGATACCGTGATAGTGTGATAGTGTGATAGTTTGATAGCGTGATAGTGTGATAGTTTGATAGCGTGATACCGTGATAGTGTGATAGTGTGATAATGTGATAGTGTGATAGTGTGATAGTGTGATAGTGTGATAGTGTGATAGTTTGATAGTGTGATAGCGTGATAGTGTGATAGCGTGATAGTGTGATAGTGTGATAGTGTGATAGTGATAGTGTGATAGTGTGATAGTGTGATAGCGTGATAGTGTGATAGTGTGATACCGTGATACCGTGATAGTGTGATAGTGTGATAGTGTGATAGTGTGATAGTGTGATAGTGTGATAGTTTGATAGCGTGATAGTGTGATAGTGTGATAATGTGATAGTGTGATAGTGTGATAGTGTGATAGTGTGATAGTGTGATAGTGTGATAGCGTGATAGCGTGATAGTGTGATAATGTGATAGTGTGATAATGTGATAGTGTGATAATGTGATAGTGTGATAGTGTGATAGTGTGATAGTGTGATAGTGTGATAGTGTGAAACCGTGATAGTGTGATAGTGTGATAGTGTGATAGTGATAGTGTGATAGTGTGATAGTGTGATAGTGTGATAGTGTGATAGTGATAGTGTGATAGTGTGATAGTGTGATAGCGTGATAGTGTGATAGTGTGATACCGTGATAGTGTGATAGTGTGATAGTGTGATAGTGTGATAGTGTGATAGTTTGATAGCGTGATAGTGTGATAGTGTGATAATGTGATAGTGTGATAGTGTGATAGTGTGATAGTGTGATAGTGTGATAGTGTGATAGCGTGATAGCGTGATAGTGTGATAATGTGATAGTGTGATAATGTGATAGTGTGATAATGTGATAGTGTGATAGTGTGATAGTGTGATAGTGTGATAGTGTGATAGTGTGAAACCGTGATAGTGTGATAGTGTGATAGTGTGATAGTGATAGTGTGATAGTGTGATAGTGTGATAGTGTGATAGCGTGATAGTGTGATAGTGTGATAGCGTGATAGTGTGATAGTGTGATAGCGTGATAGTGTGATAGTGTGATAGTGTGATAGCGTGATAGTGTGATAATGTGATAGTGTGATACCGTGATAGTGTGATAGTGTGATAGCGTGATAGTGTGATAGTGTGATAGTGTGATAATGTGATAGTGTGATAGTGTGATACTGTGACACCGTGATAGTGTGATAATGTGATAGTGTGATAGTGTGATAGTGTGATAGTGTGATAGTGTGATAGTGTGACACCGTGATAGTGTGATAGCGTGATAGTGTGATAGTGTGATAGTGTGATAGTGTGATAGTGTGATAGTGTGATAATGTGATAGTGTGACACCGTGATAGTGTGATAGTGTGACACCGTGATAGTGTGATAGTGTGATAGCGTGATAGTGTGATAGTGTGATAGTGTGATACCGTGATAGCGTGATAGTGTGATAGTGTGATAGTGTGAAACCGTGATAGTGTGATAGTGTGATAGTGTGATAGTGTGATAGTGTGATAGTGAGATAGCGTGATAGTGTGATAGCGTGATAGTGTGATAGTGTGAAACCGTGATAGTGTGATAGTGTGATAGTGTGATAGTGTGATAGTGTGATAGCGTGATAGTGTGATAGTTTGATAGCGTGATAGTGTGATAATGTGATAGTGTGATAGTGTGATAGTGTGACACCGTGACAGTGTGATAGCATGATAGTGTGATAGTGTGATAGTGTGATAGTGTGATAGTTTGATAGTGTGATAGTTTGATAGTGTGATAGTGTGATAGTGTGATAGTGTGATAGTGTGATAGTGTGATAGTGTGATAGTGTGATAGTTTGATAGTGTGATAGTTTGATAGTTTGATAGTGTGATAGTTTGATAGCGTGATAGTGTGATAATGTGATAGTGTGATAATGTGATAGTGTGATAGTGTGATAGCGTGATAGTGTGATAGTGTGATAGCGTGATAGTGTGATAGTTTGATAGCGTGATAGTGTGATAGTTTGATAGCGTGATAGTGTGATAGTTTGATAGCGTGATAGTGTGATAGTGTGATAGTGTGATAATGTGACACCGTGATAGTGTGATAGTTTGATAGTGTGATAGTGTGATAGTGTGACACCGTGATAGTTTGATAGTGTGATAGTGTGATAGCGTGATAGTGTGATAGTTTGATAGCGTGATAGTGTGATAGTGTGATAGTGTGATAGTGTGATAATGTGACACCGTGATAGTGTGATAGTTTGATAGTGTGATAGTGTGATAGTGTGACACCGTGATTGTGTGATAGTTTGATAGTGTGATAGTGTGACACCGTGATAGTGTGATAGTTTGATAGTGTGATAGTGTGACACCGTGATAGTGTGATAGTGTGACACCTTGATAGTGTGATAGTGTGACACCGTGATAGTGTGATAGTGTGACACCTTGATAGTGTGATAGTGTGACACCGTGATAGTGTTACACCATGATAGTGTGACACCGTGATAGTGTGACACCGTGATACTTTGACACCGTGATAGTGTGACACCGTGATACCGTGACACCGTGATAGTGTGACACCGTGATACCGTGATAGCGTGACACCATGACAGTGTGATACCGTGATAGCGTGACACCGTGATAGTGTGACACCGTGACAGTGTGATACCGTGACAGTGTGATACCGGGATACCGTGACACCGTGATAGTGTGACATCGTGATAGCGAGACATCGTGATAGCCACAGTGACCAGTCACATGACACCAACCTACCATTGTAACATGAGTGACCAATCACGTGACACCAACCTACCATTGTAACAGTGGTAAGAGAACTCCAGCGATCTGTCATAACCGCAGTGACTCGTCACATCACACGTCGGTCGTCCCATACACTGACGTTTGACGTACTCCGGCGTGCGTCGCTCTCGATTGTCCGTGACGTCATCGATGAAAATCAGAGAATCGTTGCAGACGAGAAGAGGTGATGCGCATGTCTGACGAGTGCATGCTGGTCTAGCAGGGTCTGAAATAGACAGGGCTGTTAGAATGGAAGTTGCTGGTAAAAGCTGTAAGACAAACGATAATTTGGTTTATGTTTATGTTCGGGCGGGGGGGGGGGGGGGGGTGGGGGGTGGGTAGACGTTCTTTGGGGGCCTGAAAGAAACTTTGCCGGGGGAGAAACGACATGAAACTTCCGGGGGTGGGGCGGAATATATATTTTCAATGTAAATTATAGATTTTTGTTTTTCATTTTCATCCGAGGCGGGGTCAGTGTTTCTTCCAGACTTTTTTCTCCGGGGGGGGGGGGGAGGGGGTGGGGGGGACGACACTTGAAAATTTCGGGGGAGGGTAGACTTTCTTCGGGGGCGGACAATGTTAAAAGTATATATTTTCTATTTAAATTTCATTTCGTTTGGGGGGGGGGGGCGGTAAACTATAAGAGATGCCTGGAAGAAACTCTGGGCGAGGTACTCCCCCCCCCCCGAAAAGATACTTGAAAGAAACTCTGGTTACGATTAGTGTGCGGACTAGGGTAATAAAAACGTCAGCATTGGGTATCAGTCTACAACTTCCATCGCAAGTCTATCGGGTGTATTTGGGTTTCTATTTTTAGTTTATCTTACAAAAAAAAAGTGTTACGTAACACATCAACTCCAGCATTTTTTTTAACCAATTTTTTTTTTTAATTTACAACTGCGGTGTTTAATGAACAGGTTGTACACACGACGGCAGAAGATTAATTGGACACAGAAATGGCGGCCTAGTTTGCGCAAGGTAAACACAATAAAAAAGATAAGATGTAACGAACGATTCCATTGGCTGCCCTCGCCCACGGGCCGGTCGCGTTGATATCAAGTTATCAGCGGCTGCTTGACCTCGCTTATCATTCGTCGAGCCAGGACCACGTGACCGAGACTAGAATTGCTCGTCGTCGTCGTTTCCCCCCCCCCCCCCCCCCCCCCCCCCCCGTCTGCTTGAGTTCAAGTGAGTTCAGAACCTGTTGGTTTATCCTGTGTTTATATTATTGTATGCACATCTAGTTTAGTTTGTATGAGTGGTGTGATGACGCAAGATTACGTCAGACATGTTTAGCAGATATAGGTTAGCAGAAACAGACGATAGGCCTAGTTGGTTGGGTAGAGAGGCCAATGGGCGCACAGGGCTGACCGGTCACGTGGGACGGTCAGCTGACCACTGAGGCGTGGGGCAGTAGAGCGATAGGCGAGGACGGTGATAGGTAGCGGTCAGAGACGGCCGAGAATGTAGATAGTTAGGAGATCATGATTAGATAGCGAAGAGTAGAGAAGGTGTTAGGTTGTAGAATGTAGATAGTGTTAGGATTGGTCGTGGGAGTTAGTAGTATAGTGAACAGTCAGTAGTAGAAGTAAATAGTACAGTGTAGATCAGTTAGGTAGAAACTTGAACATATATATCATTTTAATAAAGAACAATTATAGTTGAACTTGAACTGCGTGTTGTTGGATTCATTCGTTACCGCCTTCTTAAAACCCCCACCCTCACATCTGGTGGAGCGCGGGTCGAGGACAGGAAAGACAGTATATTGGTTACTCATGACGGAGTGTACTGGTGTACAGCTTTCTTAACTCAACACAACAGAGGGTTTCTTCAACCGGAACGAGTTTGGATTACCAACACAAGGGAACAGTCAACATGTCCAAAAAGATAAGTACCTTCCAAAAATTTTTTAAACGTTTGGGTTTAGACTTGTGCTGGATATTTGGTGCCAGCGGTTTTTCTGCCTCTTTCTTATCTGTTTCTTCAACCACACTACCCTTAAAAATGCCTCCATTGTACGAAGTGGGCACTAAAACTGAGCTTAAGTCAGGCCTAGAAGAGTCAGGTAGAATTAATAACTCGTTACTAGATATAAATGTTCAGAATACAGTCAAAGTGAAAAGCAATTCAAGAACTATTGAGGATCCAGATATTCTGGATGAATTGATTATTAGGCTTGGACAATACACGACAACAGAAAATCGAGACTGGTTATTAACTGTTAAAGAATTTGACGTAAAAACTCTAGATGATCCAGATGCTATGGAAGATTTGATCAATAGAATTGTAGATTACAAGGTATTCGGAGATCCAGATTCCTTGTTGACTGAAGAAGAATATGATGCAAAGATAGATGCCGAGTTAGCAGAGAAACAAAGAGAAGCAGAAACATATATTGCCGGACTTAAAGAAGAAACAGAAAGAATTCGTAAAGAAAGAGAAAAATTGAGAGAACTTTGCCAAGCCAAACAAGAAACGGTGCAAAGTTTAGATACTAATAATAACAACCAGACAGCTGAAACAACATTTTACTATTCCTACGATTCAGATTCAGATGACACGTTCAGTGAAGCAAGCGAAATACCTACTACAAAAAGTGAAACACCACATACACTCCAAAAACATAATAGCGCAAATCACAACATTCAGATTAACTACAGTCAACAAAAACACAATTACAGAGTCAGATGCTACTATTGTAATAGAACAGGCCACAAACAAATAAATTGCAGAATACGATATTATGATATACGCCAACAAGATGCACAACGCAACAGACCAAAATATAGACAGATTAATAGAATGGCATTCATATCATCGTTTACAGAAGCCAGTAAAAGAACAGACACATTTACGTCAAAAATTAATAGCAGATACGCCACAGCAATTAGGGACACACACTGCTCAACAGTGGCAGTACGTAACACATTCGTACAACACCACCAATACACAGGCAGAACACAACGTGTTCACAGCTCAAGAGGCAGCACATATGTTTGGCCAACAGCTATAGTCACCATAGCCACACCCTCAGCGTGTAAAACAGTTGAAGCAGCTGTTTTTAAAAACGGGCCATACGATGTGATATTAGGAAATATTAGAGGTGTGAAACAATTTAGAGTTGAAACTCGAGTGAACTACTTAGAACAACTAAGCCAACAACGCTCATCTTCAAGGAACGAACCTTACCAGAGACCACAGAGAAACAACCCTTCACAAAACCATAACCAACCAGTTGAAAGAATCCACCTACTAAACACATCAAGCTCGTTACCAACATTTAAGTCTAAAGTAAACGGACAGATAGTAAACGCAATTCGAGACACTGGTTGTTCGACAATGGCAGTAAAAGCCAAATTCGTTAAAACATGCCAATATACAGGCCGATATGTAAATGTGGAATTATTTGGCGGTATAATCGCAGAATACAAAACGGCATTGATCAATATTCAAACCCCATATCTAACTGGTCGTGTAATTGCTGTGGTCACTGACAATGGATCATATGATCTGATCATCGGAAACATAGTGAACAACGAAACTATTTCCCGAGTGGAAATCGACGATTGGGTACAAAGGGAAATAATTCAGATGGTCGAAACAAGAGAACAAGCAAGAAAAGCAAGAGAAAGCAACAAAAGTCATGAACCACCCGTCGACCTAAGTAGTCATCAAGCAGAAGGCCAACAGAACAATGCCATGGATAATACTGAGACCAAAAACATTTGGGAACAAGAAAATTTTAAGCTAGCACAACAAGAAGACCCGTCACTAGAAAAGATATTTAGACTCGCCCGTAAACACTCAATTACTACATCGAGGTCATCAGAACACTCTTTCTTTATTAAGAATAACACGCTTCAAAGAAAATATAAAAGCAAAGGACAAGAAATAAACCAATTAGTAATCCCACAGAAATACAGAGCACAAATTCTACACCATGCACACGACCTTACACTTGCAGGACACATGGGAAGAAAGAAAACAAAACAAAGAATTGAAACTACCTTCTACTGGCCGGGCATGGACAAAGACATCTCACAGTACGTGAAGTCATGTCAGACATGCAGGAATAGAGATACCACTAGACCACCCCAAGCCCCATTACAAACCACCGATTTAGCTAACAGACCATTCGAAAAAATAGCGATAGATATCATAGGACCACTGCCTACCCCATCAAAACGTGGTCACCGATACATCCTCACAATAGTCGACTTTGCAACACGTTGGCCAGAAGCCTTCCCACTAAAGACGATAACATCTGAGGATATAGCAGGCGCTCTACTCACGTTCTTCTCAAGAACCGGGTTCCCGGACACCATACTGTCAGATCGGGGCACACAATTTACCTCCGACTTAACAAGACAACTCACGAGTGTGCTGGGGATTAAGCAAGCATTCACGACGCCCTATCACCCTCAAAGCAATGGCGTGTGTGAACGACTAAACGGCACCATTAAATCGTTATTAGACAAAGTCTCTAAAGACAACCCAGAAAACTGGGATACCATGCTACCATGTATCCTATTCGCCTACCGAGAAATACCTCATTCTTCTACTGGATTCTCTCCATTCGAACTCGTCTACGGCGCCAACCCCAAAGGCCCCATGGATATACTTAGGACACTTCTCTACAAACAGAACATAGAACAAGAAACCAGAACAACATATGAAGCCATTGTCAATCTTAGAGAAAATATAATCAATGCATGCCAGGAAGCAAAGCTCGCGCTACAAGAAAAGGGAGAAATAGCAAGACACAGGGTGAACAGGAATAGAAAGCTACGCCAGTTCACAGTAGGGGAACAGGTCAGAATACTGTTACCTTCTAAGCACAACAAATTACAGCTTGCATGGCAGGGTCCATTCACAATCACAGCCAAAATTTCAAATGTAGATTACCAAGTCGAAATAAAAGGGAAGAAAAAAACGTTTCACACAAATATATTGAGCCCTTACACCTTAAGACCAGAAGAGCTTGAAATTAAACAAACGGCAACAATAAACTGCGCAGAGTTACACGAAGATGACACAGACTCGATCGGCAAAATATACACATTACCTACTAGCAAGGAAACATGGCAAGATATCAAAATCGGCAGAATGCCGCCAGAAATCGAAAAAGAAATCAAGGAAATATTAGAAAAATTTAAAGAGGTGCTATCCCCACAACCTGGTAAAACAGATACAATCGTCCATGATATTAAGTTGACTTCACTTAGA